ATTTAATTATTAGGACTATGCAGCCTTTAAACTTTGAACTTGGTTCATTTCAAAGTAAAACTTGTTCAGTATTTTAAATTGTGCAAAAACGGTAGTTCAACCGGGGCCTGGTCTAACGACACAGACGCGTTTGTCGCCCAAAACAATAGAAACAATGGCAAACGCGTTCAACAGCACAAACCCGTTTAGACGCGTCTGGGACATATTCCGACTAGCTTATTAATATTCATGAGGCACGATAATTAGACGATAGCATTCCCAGACGCGTTTGTAATACATGGTTTTCCCAGACGCGTTTCTGTCGTTGGGGATAATTTGTAGATCGCGCCTAATTACGGTACACTTTAAGGAAAAACATCCATATAGACTTGTTAGACCTTAAATGAAAGCTCATTAATACACATTCCATCTACTGAAGCTATTTATATGCTTATGAACTCTACAAATCAACATATTTTGGACAGAAAACCATGTTTTTTGTGATTTTCTTTAGTAAAATTATAATATATCGAAGTTTTAAAAATAGCTATGAAATTATAATTGAATTCCCAAATCAGTGTATGTTGTTGTTGTTAGGATTGTTTTCTGTTGCACGCGTGCATTCTACAATGTACAAGTTTTACTGATACAGTAATTAGTTTTATAATATTTAAACTAGTTGGCTTACTGCATTGTATGACGTACAGTAGTCCCAAAGCGACGTATGTTGTGAGAGAATGAGCTTTCGATTTGCTCAACGACGCAACGCTACATTTCTCATGACCATCCTACCGGGTGTCCTATAATCTCTGCATAGATTTGGCCAATTTGCATACTGGATCGAATCCAAGCAACTAGGAAAAATGAGCGTTTGTGCATTTGCTTAAAACTGTGTGGTTACTGCGTTGTATCATGCAGCGTATGTTGCAGTGGCGGCTCTAGGATATATTTTCTGGGGGGCTAAGTTGTCCGACAGGGGGGACTTGTGCTCGTAGGCTCGAGCTAGAGGAAGAGGTTGAGTGGGGGTTCCCTCTCCCAAATGAGATTTTTAAAAGAATATCAACCTCTGGATGGCCAAAAATGGCACTCTCAGACTGTGACAGACATGTGTTAGCTTGGTATGGGCCTATTTTTATATGTTTTATGGTCTAACAAGCTCTGTCTAGCGGGGGAGCTTGACCTGTCCGGTGGGAGGGGGGGCTTCCTGTTACGCACATGCATAATACTACACGTTTTGCCCGACCGGGGGTCTGAGATCCCCAATAGAGTGGGGGGAAGCTATTTCCCCGACAAAAAAGTGAGCGTGGCCAGGCATCACTCAATATCCTTCAAAAGTGTTCCATGGAGTTACCGAAAAAATATATTTAGGGGGTTTAAAGGTTTATTAATCGATTTAAGGTCTACCAATATGTAGAAAATACATATACATTTTTTTTTTCTCTAAAACTAAACTAATTCCTCCATGGATAGGGTAGGCCAAAATCTCTTGGTAGTCGGTCGAGAGGAAAGTGTATACAGTCGATACAGAGTGAAATATCGTAATTGACTATTAATGTAATTAGGGTATCCTTATGCCTATAGGCAGTGTTTACGTACAACATGGTCTTTGAAAACTATAAAAAGCAGCGTTGAATTTCTGGTCGAATTTGAGTAGTGTAAAATATAGCAATAATTAACTGGTATACTACTGATTCTAAAGGATAAACGTTTAGAAATGCTCGGACACACAGGTACAATTCTATGTATTGTTTTAATGTTGCCTTCTTACAAACATTTCGTTCATATTCAATATGAATAAAGGCATAGATTTTATAGCAAGCAGGTATATTATAAACACTAATTTTACGATATTCTATACACATGATATGACGTACTGTTAAAGCTTTGTCTTCCCAATTACATATTGAATAGCTTTATATTTAAAATGATCAAAATCAGATGGAAGTAAAAATAGCTTTCATTGCTTTAAATGTTACCAACCAATGAATCATGCAAAAGAATACAGAAACGCTCACTGTCTGTTAATAGGCAGAGATTTCATGTCGACATGGCGAGATAGATTATCTAGACAAGTCGACATAGTAAAAATTGTATGTTGTCATGGCGAGATAGATTATCTTGACAAGTCAACATAATAAAAATTGTATGTTGTCATGGCGAGATTATCTTGACAAGTCGACATAGTAAAAATTCTATGTTGTCATTGCGAGATAGATTATCTTGTCAAGTCGACATAGTAAAAATGTTATGTTGTCATGGCGACATAATTTATCTTGTCAAGTCGACATAGTAAAAATGTTATGTTGTCATGGCAAGATAGATTATCTTGACATGTCGACATAATACAAATTGTATGTCGTCTTGGCAAGATAGTTGATCTCGACATGTCGACATATGTATATTATGTCGACTTGACAACATAAATTATCTTGTCAAGTCGACATACAGTAATATACATATCATGTCGACGTGTCGAGATCAACTATCTTGCCAAGACAACATATTAAAAATGTTATGTTGTCATGACGAGATAGGTTATCTTGACAAGTCGACATAATACAAATCGTATGCTGTCATGGCGAGATAGGTTATCTTGTCAAGTTGACATAATAAAAATGTTATGTTGTCATGGCGAGATAGATTATCTTGACAAGTCGACATAATAAAAATTGTATGTTGTCATGGCGAGATAGTTTACCTTGCCAAGTCGACATAGTAAAAATGTTATGTTGTCATGGCGAGATAAATTATCTTGACAAGTCGACTTAATACAAACTGTATGTTTTCTTGGCAAGATAGTTGATCTTGACATGTCGACATGATAAGTATATTATGTCGTCTTGAAAACATAATTATCTTGACAAGTCTTCAAGTCGAATGGCACTTAGGTGCTTCCGTAATTTTGTATACAGTATTTGACTAAAGTTTTTTTTTACATTTCCTTTTTCAAATATAAAACAAAGGAACATTGTTCTCTGGTAATAAAACCATGGTCGGCTAACTCCCCTCCGTAAGCCTACGTACGTGTTGCGTCGTCGTAGTTGCCTTAAAAACGAAAAGAGCTCTTGGTGTAATACGCGAACAGTGTCTTGGCGTTGCCGTCACGGTCCATTAGTTCGTAGTATTCTGGCCGAAGTAAAAACGAAAAAATCCTAATGTGTCTAATCGAATACTGCAATTTCTACACTGTCTTGACTACCAATGCTTATTTAAGATATTTTGGCCTAATGACTCCAGCGTTCATCCACGCATAAAACTTGATACACCACTGACTCTGTTTCGCCTAACTGACCTAAAATAGCCATGCTGTTACTATCCCATTTACCAGCAAGTTGGTGAACCAGGTTTTGCCAGAATCTTATCTCAATAATCCAATTAAACAACAAAGAAGAATACTATACCTCTACTTAAGAGTCATTATCACAGCAGGCATTGCTGTTTCGCAATAAATTACCAGTATAGTATTTAAAAACCAGGCTGGAAAATTTTAAAAAATGTGTTGTTCAAAAATATTTGGCATTTTTATTACCTTAGCTATAATTTCAGATAAAAATCATAATAGTATGCTTTTGAATTTTAAAAATCAATGACTTATGTTAGAAGTTACAACATAGTTTTTGATGAACTATTTACAACCACTGTAATGAGCTTCCTGTTAATCCTGTTACAAAATTCTCTGAAGCTGTAAATCATAGAGATAAGAAGAGATCGGCAAAACCTGGTTCAAATAAAGTGTGACAACAGTTATTACAAAGTGCGACAGGTTATTACAAAGTGTGACAGATTTGTTACAAAGTATTATTACAAAGTGCGAAAGTACACACCTGTCCCATTGATGCTCTGTCACATTTACGGTTCTATGGACAAAACAAGCAAGGCTGCGCTTATGCGGACACTTGAGAGAAATATAAAAACATGACATTTTTACGAAATGTAACAATAGAGTTAAGATTTGTGACAACATACAGTACTACAAATTATTTTAATTTGACGTACCTACGATTTTACAAAGACGCAAGCACGACGTTAGCACGATTTAACAAGCCGCACATCACAAAAACAAACATCACATGACAAGAAAATTTGTTGGCTGCTACAGTTTTGATAATCCAGAGCAAGCGTTGGTCACGTCGAATGCATAGGCCTAAACGAAGTGTATGGGTACAGCCATGGTTCTTACGTCGTCGATAGTTTAGAAAGTATGAACACTTAGGCCTACTAGTAGAGTTAAATAGAGAAGACTCCAAGAGGCTTCAGAAACTTCCTCCAAGTGAACAAGGAATTGTTCAGTGTGTTGTCAGACGTGATATAAACCACGATCTCGATGGTATCCTGGTGGCATCGTATTTAATCGTAGGTGTTGTTGGTAGTACGAATGGACAAGACACAGTCACGACAAACGACGACAACGTTACGCCACTCACATGATGCCGCTGCGGTAAACCAAGATCTATACCAAAAGCTTATCTTACTCAGTACAGAAATTGTTTTAGTGTTCCATTTTTTTTTCATGACACCATCATACTATAAGTCAAATTCTGAGAATGAATAGTTGGAATATTTATAGGTCATGTACAGTATGGCACGATGGCGTGCATTTCGATACTTGGAGTATGTATTATACTACTGTATCTTATGTACAGTATACTTTTTAATAGAAAGAACTACAATTTGAAATTTTAGCAAAAAATGATATTTTTTTTACATTTTCCTTTCAAAAACAACTGAGGAATTATGGGATTGCAATAAGTTCAGTAACATTGTAACAATCAATAGATAATTTAATAAGCTTTCATATGACATGCAACATGATTGCATGTGATGTACTGTGCATCTGTAATAACCAAAATTATTATTCATATCAAAATTGACTTCAAATGACCTCTGACCTGTTATTCCAGCAGAAATACCTCGTCAGACGGGCAGTTCCAAGACCCTCACATGATGAACTTTCCAATAATACCTACTAAACATGTGGTCATTTTATGCAAATAAATGGTCCCTGGCTCCCGGACTAAAAGTTAACCCTCAAATTGATGGACCCAAATCCACTATATATCAGATAAAATGATCTAAAACTGCACGAAGTGTGGACTAGCTATTAGTATACAGTGACTTGATCAATCTTTGTTCTTTCTGACCAAAAACAACAAGGTTGGAACTGGGCTTGTGAAAGTCACGACCATGCATGAGAATCATAGTTTTAGAAATTTAATATTATGTAACTGAGTTTGCTAAATCAACTCTAAAATTATATACAATTGGTAAAATTCTCATAAATTATTGCTTAAATATATTTTCAGAATTCAAAGATGGCTGAAAATGAGATCCAGCAATCACTTGCAGATTCAAATAGATGTCCAATTTGCTTAAATGTATGCCAAGAACTAAAAACATTAATTTGCCAGCATAGCTTCTGCATTCTCTGTCTTGAAGACTGGATAAAGAAAAAGGGTGCACTGGAATGTCCAAATTGCCGTCAGTCACATCCTGTTCCCGAGGGCGGACTTCAATTATTACCATCAAATACAATTGGAGTGTTATCTGCTGATAACTTGGATAGAGGTCATGATAACATCAAGTGCTGTTGTGGTAAATGCAATGCAGTCTTTTACTGCCAGGATTGTAATCAGTATTTGTGTACTTCTTGCACAAATACTCATGAAAAATTCCCTGCACTCAAGAACCACATACTACAGAAAATCAGTGCTAACTGGCCAGAAAAGGAACCAGAACCATTGTGTCCACTGCATGAAAAGGTGATGGAATTATATTGCAACATTTGTAAGATTCCAATTTGTCAAAATTGTGTAATTACAGATCACAAAGAAGATGAAGGAAAACATGAAACAATTGAAGTTTCTGAGGCCTTCAATTACTTCAAAGTAACTGCAACCGCTTTGATAAGTCAGGCCAATGTTAATAAGCTAAAGGCACAAAGAGGAATAACCAAGTGTATTGAAAATGATTCTGAGCTTAGCAAAAGCAGAAATGATATTATAGAAGACATCAATAACAGTGTAGAAGAAATAGTTAAATTAGTCAGAGAAACTGGAAAAGCATTGGAAGAAACGTTTGAAGATGTCTGCAAGGCAAAAAAGGAGAAAAGTAACTCTCAAATTCATGAACTCAAATCATATATATCATGTCTTGAAGAAAAACAAGATTGCATCGGAAGAATACTTAATAGTGGAAAATTAACAGCCCTCCAAACATGCCAACAGCCAATTATAGAACTGCAAGAAAAAATTGACTTACCAGACACAGAACCTAGAGATGATGGGAAGGTTTATTTCTCTCCAACAAAAGACCACATAATGAGTTCTTTAAAAAAACAGGGACTAGGAAGTTTCTTTGAAAAGCCAAATGAAAATGTCTTTCAAATTTTATGTGAAAATCCATTGACTGTGACTAATCACCAAACCTTTCATGTTGAAATAGCTCAAAGATATAAATGTAAAATAGATATTAATGATCTGACACTATCAGAAAGGACACTATCAGAAAGGACACTATCAGAAAGGACACTATCAGAAAGGACACTATCAGAAAGAAGTATTTTCCGAGGACGTCCTAAACTAAGATTCTCGGTCATAAGGGATAACTTAAGTATTTTTGAACATAATGGCAAATATTTTGTGAAAGGATCCTTTGGAAAAGAAAAGATATTGGATATCAAATTTCGTAATTCACCAATAAAAGGATCACCAATTATGATCAATGTTAAAGAAGTTGGAATCGAAAGAGTTATTGAAAATGTTGGTCTATCCACATGTACTACGGGTCATAATAAAGGTATCCAAGATTTGGTGATGTCTGAAAAAGGTTGGTTTTTAATTGTTTGTAACACAGATGGAGCATTTAGGTTTGAAAAGTCAGGAGCATTTGTCAGTAAAATAATATTACCAAAGGATGTTAAAACAGTACGCAAATTAAAAAACAACAACCTAATATTTTCAAGCACAAATACTACTTCAATGTTTGTAACTAAGCATAGGTCTATCAGTAATAACAGTATTTTAACAGTTTGTAGACACAATGGTAAGGTGATTAAATCACTTGATCTTACGGCAGTAAATAGTTTAACAATTGGTAATGGTATTGATGTAAATGAAGACTTGAATTTAGTGTATGTACCTGATCAAAAAGAACATTGTGTACATGTGTACAACATGGAGAGTAAACTTAAGGTGAAATCCATTGGATCTGAAGGTGGTCTTGAAGGACAAATGAATGGACCTTCTGATGTTGCTGTCACAAAAGAAGGGAATCTCATTGTGGCTGACACTCAAAATCACAGATTGCAATTATTTGGCTCTGATGGTCAATTCATTAAAGTTATTATTGGGGGAGGGTTGGAAGTTGGTATGGTGATAAAGCCATCCAGAGTAGGCATTGATTATGATGACAACATTATTGTAGCAAGTGAATGCAAAGTACAGTTATTTGACAATTGTGGCAAGTTCATTAGAGTGATTCATGAGATTCAAAACAAAGAAACATATTTTGCATTTTCAATTGTTTCTCACTTTCCTCGTAGACTAGCATTAGCAGAAATTCAATCAAGAACGATCAAATTAATAAATTATTAGAAAACAAATCCCACAATGTATAGATCAGATTACAAAAAAAGGTTTGTACTGGAAGGAGGGTTTAGACCACGCAAGTCCCACTATGGTTAGGATGAAATATGAACTTTTATGGTGTGGTCATCCTAGAATTTTTTATTTTTTTCTTCCATTTTAAAAAATTTCAACAATTTATAAGGAAGGCCTGGACCCTGTCCCTAAAAGTATTCTGGCATGCTGTGCACACTTGAGGACAACTTAAGGCCCTTGTTGGTCACTGCAACATATGATAAGATCAATTAAATGTATTTTAAAATTAATTTTTGTCTGATGTGATAATAAGTGATAAAACTGATAATTTGATATCTACTGATCAAAACTAAGGAAGTGATAATTAACGCAATAAGAAAATTCCTCATAACTATAGAGGGAGGACCACTCCATTAGACACATTTTGCTACCATAAACGTGTTATAAGAGTGGTTTTTTTTTGTGAACAAAAATAAATGATACAGGTAAAAATTAAAGTAACAAAAAAAGAAGAAAAATAGAAACTCAGCCTGTCTTTAACAAAAGTTCAATCCCTTTTGCTACTCTACTCATCGCATTGCTTTTGTCCTTGGTAAGGCACTTTACTTATGTTTGCCTCTCTCTACCCAGGAGTATAAATGGGTACCTAGTAGGATGGTGTGGCATTGAATGTATGGGTCGTGCACGTTTAAGCAGGGAGCAGAAAAAGTTGCACAATGTAATTATCTGCTAATTCAGTATCCAGTGACCAGGGAAATAAGGACACCCAGCGCCTTGTATAATTGCTTGTAAATTCTGCGAATTGTGAAAGGCGCTATATAAATTCTGATTCTAAAAAGAAAAAATGATAGATCCTACTTTAGCCTTTTAGCTCATTAACAAAATATTTTGTTGTATATATATATATATATATTTTTTAAACAAAACAAAACAATATAAAACAACAAACCTCAATTTCATATATTTTCATATAGTTATGGCCAACACAATAATTTTTTTATTTGGCCTAATGAAGAGATGATATATCCGTATCAAAATTGATAATGCCAACTAAATTGTATTAGTGCTGTTTACATAATGTCACCATAATAACATTCCATATTTGTTTTAATAAGCTTTACTTGACTTGTTGTTTGCAAAGTAGTTTGAGCGACCTTTCCAGAAATTTTTGCTCTACTGTAGCTTTCAATGCCAGTTTTCTGAATGAAGCTGATGCAATGAAAGCTATGGTAAGACCAATTTTCTAGACACTCAATAGCTCAAACTACTGTCATTATTTATACTAAAATGTTATCTTAATGCACCAGCAGTACTCCACTCTCTACTCTCAAAAACAATCAGGAAAAATTCAGTAGAAATTTTGACTAGCTCATGTAACCTAGATACTGATTGAGAAAAAAGTAGTGGTTTTTATAGATATTTTACTATAGAAATAATTAAATTGACTACCAGCTAATTTAAGTGTGTATGAACAGAATACTGGAAAGGTAATACTGTATTTAACTGTATTTAATTTTCTAATTGAAAGTTAATAACTTACATATATATACAAACTAGTAAATTTAAATACGGAAATGGATATTTAAATTTGTTTGATCATGCCAGACCGACTAAGTAATATTCTCATCAACTGTTAACAGTTGCGGAATGTCAAGGCAAGCAAGTTATGCACTGCATACCCTGTTTCTTTGGTTCCAAGACAGATGAGCATTGCCCTCTTTTGAGAAATCCTACCATGTACCGAGTCGTTCTGTATATTTGTATTTTTATGCTAATTTTGTAAATTTGAAATGGTAAAATAAATATGAAATGATATGAAAACCATATGTGTATAAAAAAGAATATAAATTTTTAAAATTGTTTTTTTGGCACAGTATTTGACTGTAGGCTAACAAACTTACCCCACTACCAGGCCCTGCATAGACTGCAATTTACCCTACGGTTCGCTAC